CTTGTCCCCTTCAGGATGCTCTTAGGATCTTTTCTTTATCCTCATGTTATAAAATTTCGTGATATGCCCTATTGGTCTTTATCATTCATTGCACTAAGCACTTGGTTAGGTCTTTAAATCCAAGGACTTTTGTCCTTCAGTTCTGGGAGATTTTCTCACATTATTTTCTCACAGTTTTTTGAAGACTGCCTTTTCTTCATTTTCTGTTTTCTCTCTCTCCCTTGTACTCATACCAATATCTTAATATTTATTATATGCTAGGCAATGAGCTAAAGACTTTTTACATATCCTATTTTTTTTTTTTTTTTTAGAGATGACAGGTAAGGGGATCTTAACCCTTGACTTGGTGTTGTCAGTACCACGCTCACCCAGTGAGCAAACCGGCCATCCCTATATGGGATCCGAACCCGTGGCCTTGGTGTTATCAGCACCGCACTCTCCCGAGTGAGCCACAGGCTGGCCCCTCTACATATCCTATTAGTTTATAAAATAAGGAAAGTGATATATGGAAACTGAGGTTCTAGGAGGTTAAGCACTTTGCTAAATTCCTCAAGCTAGTATGCAGACCTCAAGTCCAGGTCTGCTTCATCCAAGTCTGTGTTTTAACTACTGCATGATAATGCCAGTCACTTTTTTATTGCAAAAATGGGGAGGGTTGATTCTCAAAGACTTTCAAAAGATAAAGATCAGGAAAGCAACTGTAGAATGATAATTCACAATTCTCCAAAAGAGCCAACCTTGTGGATATAAAAAAGCAGATTGTAGCAAGTTTAGGAATAGTACGCCTGCAAAGGAAGGGGAGGATAGGAGCCTAGGAAATCTTCTATTTGGAAAGCAGTGTGGTGTGGTGGTGTGATTGAAGATCACAGAAATGATCCTAAGGTCATTCTAGCCCTGGCACTTAGTAGTTATATGATGCTCATCTGTAAAATAGGCATATAATCTGTACAAGGTTCTTATCAAGATTAACTGGGGTACATATGTTAAAGCATCAGTGCACAAACAAACAACAAATGTTAGCTCCCTTCCATTTTAGAAGATACTCAAGGGTACAAAGGAAATATTATCTATATGGAGGAAATAGGAGATATGCAAAGAAATGTATATGGAGATGAGACACAAATAGAGTGAGATGCTCTGGAAGGCTGGCCATGTGCAAAGAGATACCATGATGGCAACATGCATACAGGTGTACTCAAGTATTCAAGGGCAATAGACTGGATCACACTGTGGATGAAAAGGGAGCTTTTCTCACACTCTCAGCATTTCCTGACTTCATCTCATCGCTCATCCTTAAGATGGTCCACATATATACTTGCCTCTTCTAGCCTTAAAAGTTATTTGATTTGGTGCTTGGAACATAATTTTAGAGAGTCCATGAATTAGAAGGTTATTCATATTTCTTTACTCTTGCTGTCCTCAGATGTGTGTGTGTGTGTGTGTGTGTATGTGTGTGTGTGTGTGTGTGTGTGTTCGCGCGCACGCGCACACGTGCATAAGAATAAGAGTGCAAGAGACAGACGTGATGTAGATTCTCACAGGCAATTCTTTTGCAGTTAGCTCTGAGGGCAGCTCCATCCTATGAAGATTTTGTGGCCGCATTAACCATAAAGGAAGGCGACCACCAGAAAGAAGCTTTCAGTATTGGGATGCAGAGAGACCTCAGCCTTTACCTCCCTGCCATGGAAAAGCAGCTTGCAATACTGGACACTTTATACGAGGTCCACGGGCTGGAGTCTGACGAGGTGGTATGACAGCTGCAGGACAGCACCTCCTAACTTCAGGGAATAAAGTTTGCTAAAGCGTTTTGTTGCCCTATTTAATTTCTAGCAACAGCTTCAACCATCTCCAGCTCCTTTATGTGGGGGGATGGAGAGGAGGAGGCAAAACCCAGTGCTTTTATATATAATTTTTTAAATGTGAATGAGTTTTGTGTGTTTAAAAATCAAGGTGCTATATATTTCAGTTCAAAGGGCCTACTGGAAACCAAATCATAGCTGTTACAGTCTTGAACAGCAAGTAATAAGAGCCAATTTGACAAATGAATTTGTTGGTATTGTGCTTTGTATTGTTTTTAGTTTTTAATTTTAATGGGCCACCAAAACCTAAGCTGAAAATAGCAAATTCTGTATCAAGGGCTATAATTCATAGCCAGTGTTTCAGCCAACTTAGAATTAGACTAAACGCTTGGAGGGAGTGTAAGCCCTTTTGTTGAAGCTATTGCAATGCCGAGTTTTCTATTCCTAGACATTCTTCATGGGATCCTCTTCTCCATGGGTTTATCTGCAAAAGAACCTATATAGTAAAGGTGTTCAGGGCATTGGTGTGATCATGTGCTTATGGGAGGTGGCCCTGTTGACAGGCAGGAGTCAGTGGCTCCAAGGAAATGAGTGGTGTGCCCTAACCTCAAGTTGGAGGACAGTATAGGAGAGGTGGGACAGGTCGTTTGAGATGACACCTACCTACTGCCCACCCTTTGCCAGCATGTTTTCCATGCATTATCTCAACTGACATCACAATGAAACTGTGACACTCAAACGGATTATTACTCCACTTCAAAAGTAAGCTCTAGAGTTTGAGGGATCCACTCAGTCATGTGGTCTCTAAATAGAGGAGCCAGCTGATTTCCAAGTATGATCAGGACCACCTTTGCATCAGAGTCCCATGGAGTGACCTGGAGAACCAGAATCTAGGGAGTGGGGCTCAGGAATGTGCATTTGGGTAAACTTTCCAAGTCATTTTCATGCACACAGGGTTGAAGAACCACTAGATTAAATTCTGATTTATAGAATTCCTATTTTTCTGCAAGAACTAAATGTGTCCTTTTTCCAAATAGGAAGAGGCATCTTTTAAATAAAATAAACAGAGAGTGATAAATGGAGCAGGTTTACTCAGCAGCATTCTTGATTGAACCAGCATCAGCACACAGCCATCAGACATTGGTGTTGCATTCAGGGGCTATTGAATCTGCTCTCTGATCAATCTTGGTTTAATCACCAAGAGTGCAGAGTAAGCGAAATGTATCTGCTTATCAATCTTAAAAGCTTTGGGACAGTGTCAGAGTTTGAAGATGGGACTTAAGTATTACATAAAACAACCTTGGGTGGGTATTCTATAAAGTGTGATTCCAAACTGTGGCCCTAGTCTCCCAGTAGGCCAAGCTGCCTAGAGTGTACGTAGGAGAGAAGCCATGGGTGCCTTCCCCATTAGAGGCTACTTCCTTCTAGTAAGAGGAAGGG